TCAAATATATGTTTTTATCATAAAGGTTTTACAGATATACCAGAAAGAGTACATAAATCAGTATTGACAACAGGGAAAAATTCACAGGTACTGATCCACACAGAGGGTAGGATTTAAATATCCTTCTGTTCCCATCCATGTTCACAGAAAGGACTGGGTTAGTTGTATCATTTGTGCAATAAAAAGCATCATTAATGCAATATTTGAACTTAGTGCACATTTGGTGTGAGAATCATTATTTATATTTATTCTGCCTTGAAGAGCATTTGGGAACTTCATTGTCTTTTGAGGCTTGAAATATAGCAGCAAACAGAACAATGAACTCCCCTCAACCCCCCAAAAATGAATGAGAATTGAGGAGACTAGAATCATTAGTAACAGAAGCTAACATCCGTACCAGACACTGTGATAAATACTTTATATACATTATCTATTTAGGCCCCATCATAACCCTGTGATGCTACTATCTCTTGTATTATTATAATTATTTTACTATCAGGAAACTGAAGTATTGTGAAGTTAAACAAAATTCTCAAGTTGACATAGTAAGAATGTCTTAATTCTGACCCCTAAGTTCCTAAATACCATGCTATAAAGTATTCTTAATAAGTCTGATGTCTCATAAAAATATATACTGTAAGGACACCCACAGTAAAGTTACATCTAAATGCAGAAAGATACAGGATACAGCAGAGACAAGCTTTTAAAATGGCTGGAATCTGCTTAGCCAATCTGAATTTGTAGTAGTTGATTTGATTAGATGTGAGTTTGTATGATAGCCAGAACCACTGACTAGACCATGCCAAAATGGTTGCCAATGGAAAGAGTTTAGGTTTTTCACATGGCTCTTAATAGATTAGGCATTATTCACTGTGATGATAAGGACAAGTAAGACATGAAGAAGGGAGCTTGGTACAGTGGTGTAGTCCCTGCTACATGGGAGGCTGAGGTGTAAGGATTCCTTGAGCCCAGGTGTTCAAATCCAGCCTGGGCAACATAGCTACTTCTTCTCTTTGAAAAAAAAAAAAATGAAAAAGCAGCAGGAGGAAGATACACGGACAGGAAGTAAAGCATTAGTAGGTCTTAAACAGATTTCAAACAATCATAGTCATGAAGATTAGCAGCAGAAATAGCTAATCTTTGAGCATTTATTATGTGTTAAGTCCCTGAATTATTTAATTTTATCCTTTCAACAATCAATAAAATAGGTGACATTATTGCCCTCATTTAGGTTCCTTGACTCTAGCAAGTGGCTAAATCATCTTACCATCAGAAATCTCTAGTTTTTGCACCATTGTGTTTTTCTGGGAATAACTTTCACAGTGCTCCTGAATGCATTTCTTTTTTTTTGAGATGCTGTTTCACTGTGTCACCCAGGCTGGAGTGCAGTGGTGTGATCTTGGCTCATTGCAACCTCCGCCTCCTGGGTTCAAGCAATTCTCCTGCCTCAGCCTCCTGATTAGCTGAGACTACAGGCACCTGCCACCACACCCAGCTAATTTTTGTATTTCTTTTTTTTTTTTTCTTTTTTGAGGCAGAGTTTCGCTCTTATTACCCAGGCTGGAGTGCAATGGCACGATCTCGGCTCACCGCAACCTCCGCCTCCTGGGTTCAGGCAATTCTCCTCCCTCAGCCTCCTGAGTAGCTGGGATTACAGGCACGCGCCACCATGCCTAGCTAATTTTTTGTATTTTTAGTAGAGACGGGGTTTCACCATGTTGACCAGGATGGTCGCGATCTCTTGACTTCGTGATCCACCTGCCTCGGCCTCCCAAAGTGCTGGGATTACAGGTGTGAGCCACCGCGCCCAGCCCAAATTTTTGTATTTCTAATAGAGGTGGGGTTTCACCATGTTCACCAGGCTGACCTCAGGTGATCCACTCACCTTGGCCTCCTAAAATGTTGTGATTACAGGCGTGAGCCACTGTGCCTGGCCCTGAATACATTTATTGTTCCTTCTTGAAAAGCTCTCTTACCTTGGCTTCTATGACACATCTCCACATTTTTCTACTTCCATTGTCCTTTCTCACCATCCCCCTCCTTGGGACCCCTTCTCACCTTTTGTCTTTAAAAATCTGGTTTCTCTCCTCAGCCTTTTCTTCTTTTTCTCAGTTGACACATTTTGTCTTCTCTCATACCTTAGTCAACATCTGCTCTTACACTCTAAATTTTCCTGTACATGCTGATGATTCTAAAGTTAATCTATTGGACATTTCTGTCTGAATGTCTTGCATACACTTTATTGTATTTATTTTTGATTTTGGACAGAGCTGTGATGCTCAGGCTGGAATGCAGTGGTGCAATCACGGCTCACTGCAATGTCTGCCTCCCAGGTTCAAGTGATTCTTCTGCCTCAGCCTCCTGAGTAGCTGGAATTACAGGCATGCGTCACCATGCCCAGCTAATTTTTGTATTTTTAGTAGAGATGGGGTTTCACCATATTGGCCAGGCTGGTCTCGAACTCCTGACCTCCAGTGATCTGCCCATCTTGGCCTCGCAGAGTGCCAGGATTACAGGTGTGAGCCATGATGCCTGGCCTGTTTTACATACGCTTTAAACTCAGCTTGTGCAAAACTGAATTATGTTCTTCACTTATTCGCTGAAGCTCTTCTCCCTCTTCTGTGCTCTTACTCAATTAATGTTATTTGCCTGCAACATCCCTTCAAATACCCAGGTCAGAAACTTGGGTATCATGTTTGGCACCTTTGTCTACAGTAATAAATCCCTTTTAAACACTGGGCACATGGCCTCACAAAATAAAATCTACATTCCCTAGCTATCTTTGCAGCTAGGCAATGTTCATGTGTCTAATTCTGCCTGATGGGGGCTGGGCATGGTGGCTCACTTGAACTGCTGTATCAGCCCTGGATTGCTTATGCTCAGCCTGTTAGGTGAGGAAAGAAGATTTATCTTATGCAAACCATTGTTATTTGAGTTTCTGTTACAGTAACCAAATCTATAGATTAATACTCTTAGATTAATGCAACAGCCTTCTGATTGGTCTTTTTGCCCCCACTTTTAACTTCCCTTCAACCCATTTTCTTCCTTAAATTCAGATTAATTATTGTCAAATTCAAATGTGATTATACTATTCCCTGCGACCCTCCACTCCCATGCCATTTCCTTCAGTGTGTATTTTATATTCCTCAGCCCAGCATGCCAAATCTTTCATAAACTGGGCTCTGCCTTATCTCTCTAGTCTTACTTTTAATTGCTCCCTAACTTGTATTCCACGTTCCAACCATGCAGAACTATTTGCAGTTTCACGGAATAAGCCAAGCTCTTGTACCTAAGTGCATCTGGATCTGTGGTTTGCTCTGCCCAGAATGTCCATTCCCAATTCTCACTAGTTTCCCTGGTTAGCTAGTTTCTAGTTGTCAGGATTCAGGGCATCTCTTCTTGGAAGTGATTCTTGACCAGCCAAGAATCAGTTACAGTATCCTCTTATGTACTCTCAAAGTACTCTGTGCATATGTTTATCAAAGAATTGCTGGTTTACTTGTCTACTTCCCTCACCACCCCTCCTTCCCTATCAACTGTTACTTCCTGGATTGCAAGACATATTTTCTCATTCACAGGTGTATCACCAGGCCCTAGCACAAACCCTGGCACACAGTAGCACTTAAAAAATATTTACTCGACCGGTCAAGTGTAATTCCAACATTTTGGGAGGCCGAGGCCGGCGGACCACCTGAGGTGCAGGAGTTTGAGACCAGCCTGGCCAACATGGTGAAATGCTGTATCTACTAAAAATACAAAAATTAGCCAGGTGTGGTTGTGGGCACCGGTAATCCCAGCTACTTGGGAGGCTGAGGCAGGAGAATCACTTGAACCCAAGAGGCAGATGTTGCAGTGAGCCGAGATCATGCCACTGCATCCAGCCCGGGTGACAGAGTAAGACTCTGTCAAAAAAAAAAAAAAATTATTCATGGTTGGACATTGTGGCTCACACCTATAATTTCAGCACTTCGGGAGGCTGAGGTGGGTGAACTGCTTGAGCCTAGGAGTTTGAGACCAGCCTGGGTAACATGGTGAAACCCTATCTATACCAAAAATACAAAAATTTGTTGGGTATAGTGGCGCATGCCTGTAGTTCCAGCTATTGGGGAGGCTGCGGTGGGAGGATCACTTGAGCCCAGGAGTCAAGACAGCAGTCAGCTGAGATTGTGCCACTACACTCCAGCCTGGGTGACACAGCAAGACACTGTATCAAAAAAGAAGAAAGAGTACGCATGAAATACAGGAGACCCCTTAGGGCATCTCTTAGTACTACATGCCCTGTGATTAAGGCCAATGGGAAACTACAACAGCCAATCCAGGCAGGACTACAAATGACCCAGACCCTTCAGGAATGAAGGTTTCAGTCACTCCACCAGGAAAAAAACCACGAGCTGCAGACGTGCTTGTTGACAGCAAAGGGAATACAGAATGGGTAGCAGAAGGTAGTCATCGATATCAGCTATGACCACCTGACCAGCTGCAGAAACGAGGACTGTAATTGTCATGATTATGTTCTCTTTCTTTTGTTAAAAACATGTTTGTGCACATATACACTTGTACTAAGAAAATATCCTCATTTGATTTCCTTGTCCTTTATCATGTGACATAAGATTTACTGACTTAATATCAGCATTTAAGTATTGCTAATTTTATGTGATGGCATTTGGGTTGGGGATTGGCTCGTTTCCGGGTGTATGAAGAATAGTTGTATTATGTTAGGCATAATTATGACCTTATGATTGTCTTCATTTGAAGATTATGAGTGATCTCAGGAGATGTGTATGGGTTCAAGTTGACAAGGGGTGGACTTGTTAATACTAAGTGTCAACATGATTGGATTGAAGGATGCAGGGTGCTAATCCTGGGTGCCCCTGCAGGGTGTTACCAAAGGAGATTAGCATTTGAGTAAGTGGGCTGGGAAGGCAGACCCACCCTTAATCTGGTGGGCAGAATCTAATCAGCTGCCAGCAAATATAAAGCAGGCAGAGAAACGTGAAAGGCTGAAACGGGCCTGGCATCCCAGTCTACATCTTTCTCCTGTGCTGGATGCTTCCTGCCCTCGAATATCATCAGACTTCTAGTTCTTCAGTTTTAGGACTCAGACTGACTCTCCTTGCTCTCAGCTTGCAGACAGACTGTGGTGGGACCTTGTGATCCTGCTTTCTTAGTTCAGCTGTCTTCCTGAGGTTGTTTGGAGCCGCTGCATCATGGGTAAAGAACTCCCTAAAGCCAGTCCCAACAAGCCTGCACTGAATATCAAGAAGTCTGACAAATTCTTCAAACACAAGAAGCCCACCAATAATGTGCTGGTCTTTTTGATCAACAGACAACTGAGCAGGCACAGAAGTGACATCGACCTGTCAAGGTCGCTGTGGATGCTGTCATAAAGCAACTCCAGGGTGGACATGGCCTTTGTACCATCTGCAAGCTAAGAATGGTTTTGGCAGTTTAAAGGGACTGGAGAGAGAGGAAAGATAGCCAGCAGAGACCTTTATAAGATCTGTGAAGCCTAAAATATTTGTCACTTCACAGAAAAAGTTTGCTGTCCCCCACAATAGAGAACATCTTGAAGGGTAGAAACTATGCTTTTAGGATTATGCTTTTATAAATGTCATACCAAGCTGGAATTGATATAGCATTAACAATCCAATTAATAACATTAGGCAAATACTCTTCAATTGTAAGCATCTGGCCTATAAAATATAGAAGCATGTTAATATCCAAAAAATGCTTTGTAATGATTTCAGATTTATATATGATTTTAAATGGAGTAAATTTATCAGAACATGCTATACTTACATGACAGATTAATTGTAAGGGTAGCCAAGAGAAAGTTTTATCAACCTGCCAGGCTGCTTTGTAACAGTCAAAGAGGAGGCAGCGCTGAGCTACAAATTGAGGGGTTTATATTGGGTGAGAGGGGCGTAATCTATCCACTGGTAACAAGCACAGAGATAGTTTGTTAACTTGTAACAGACCTACTATACATTATCCTGTGACTTTTGTGGTGGCAGTCTTTTAAAAAAAGAGAGAATCCGGGAGTTTTTTTTACAGATAAGTGTTAAAAAGGAATTTACAAGTATGGATAACCAACATGTTTTTCTTGTCTGCCCCGGAGCTGCCCGGATGGCTGTAATCAGACTTTGCTTAATTGCAGTGTGCCTGGCAGCCTTGATGTGGCGTCTAGGTAGGGGTTTAGGAATGCAGCTGCAGAGCAATCAGAGTGGGGGAAGGGGTCAGCCTGCACAGAGGGGGTTTCCTTGTCCCTAACGCTAATGATTTATTTTATAACAAAATTGGATACACATGCACAAATAATTTTTTAAAAAACTTAGCATCGAAATAAATGGCATATAAAAAGCTGTAGTGAAATATGACTTTCAACATTTTTCTATCATGAATGTCACAGATCCTTTTTACTTTTACTATGATATAATAGTAATAGTCTCATACATTTACAATTTACGAGAATTTGGTGTGTGCAAACAAATGCTGAAAACATCGATTTTAGCTCTTGACACTTCATTACACTATCAGTACATTACAACCCACAGGTTACACTATTCATTCATTCATTCATTCATTCATTCATTCATTCATTCGAGACGGAGTTTTGCCGTTGTTACCCAGACTGGAGTGCAATGGCACAATCTCGGCTCACCGCAACCTCCGCCTTCTGGGTTCAAGCTAATTCTCTTGCCTAAGCCTCCCGAGTAGCTGGGACTACAGGCGCGCGCCACCATGCCCAGCTAATTTTTGTATTTTTAGTGGAGACCGGGTTTCCCCTTGTTGACCAGGATGGTCTGGTCTCTTGACCTCGTGATCCACCCGCCTTGGCCTCCCAAAGTGCTGGGATTATAGGCGTGAGCCACCGCGCCCGGCCTGGTTACACTATTTAAAAAAACTGTAATGTTATGCATGTTCTAAGGTTGAAAGAGATGTTAGGGTTTAGAGCATTTCATTAAGGTATTCTAATGAAAACCTGGTTAGACTTTGGGAGGCCGAGGCGGGTGGATCACGAGGTCAAGATATCGAGACCATCCTGGTCAACATGGTGAAACCCTGTCTCTACTAAATATACAAAAAATTAGCTGGGCATGGTAGTGCGTGCCTGTAGTCCCAGCTACTCAGGAGGCTGAGGCAGGAGAATTGCCTGAATCCAGGAGGCGGAGGTTGCGGTGAGCCGAGATCGCGCCATTGCACTCCAGCCTGGGTAACAAGAGTGAAACTCCGTCTCAAAAAAAAAAAAAAAAGAACACCTGGTTAGAAAGAGACCTGGGGGCCGGGCGTGGTGGCTCACGCCTATAATCCCAGCATTTTGGGAGGCCAAGGCGGGTGGATCACGAGGTCAAGAGATCGAGACCATCCTGGTCAACAAGGTGAAACCCTGTCTCTACTAAAAATACAAAAATTAGCTGGGCAAGGTGGTGCGCGCCTGTAGTCCCAGCTACTCGGGAGGCTGAGGCAGGAGAATTGCTTGAACCCAGAAGGCGGACGTTGCGGTGAGCCGAGATCATGCCATTGCACTCCAGTCTGGGTAACAACGGCAAAACTCCATCTCAAAAAAAAAAAAGAAAGAGACCTGGGATATCTATACCTAAGAGAAAAAAAATTACTTATAGTATAATTAATTGGATTGTCTGTAACACAAAGGATAAATGAGGATGGATATCCCATTTTTCATGTGATTATTACACATTGCATGCCTATAACAAAAATATTTCATGTACCCCCAAAATATATACTGTGTACCCACAAAAATTAAATATAAAATATTTCACTAAAAAATTAAAGATAGGCCGGGCACAGAGGCTCAGGCCTGTAATCCCAGCACTTTGGGAGGCCGAGGCAGGCAGTTCACTGTCAGGTCTCCATATGCAAGCCTGGAGCCTGAAAGTCTGAAGTCCTGCTTGCCTGCTTGCCTGAAGTCTCCCACCCACTGCCTGCGTTCGCCATTGTCCCTAATTGCGCAGCAGAGCTTCCCACAAGCCCCTCACCCAACCCTGCCATCTTAACCGTTCTTATGATAATGTAAGTACCTCTCACCCAACCCTGCCACTGTAACTGAACTTGTATACTCCTTGCCCCTACCCCCCACCACTGTAACTAAACTTACTCAGCAACACCTCACCCCCCAAAAAAACTACCCAAACCTATAAAACCAACTCCTATCCCAATGCCCTTTGCTAATGGCCTTTTCGGCCTTAGCCCACCTGCACCCAGGTGAATAAACAGCCATGTTGCTCACACAAAGCCTGTTTGGAAGGTCTTTTCATTCAAAGTGCGCGTTTTTCACAAGCACGACGTGAGGAGAACGAGACCATCTGGTTAACATGGTGAAAACCCGTCTTTACTAAAAATGTAACAAAAAATTAGCCAGGCATGGTGGCATGCGCCTGTAGTCCCAGATACTCGGGAGGCTGAGGCAGGAGAATCGCTTGACCTTGAGAGGTAGAGGTTACAGTGAGCCGAGATTGTGTCACTGCACTGTAGCCTGGGCAACAGAACAAGACTCTGTCTCAGAAAATAAATAAATTTCTATTACTACCCCAAAGTGTACATATATGTTTTTATTTCCCCTAAATATGAATAATTCATAGTTTCAAAATGTTTGGATTTTTAATGAGTATTAAAATGAAAATTATTTATGAGAAATAATACAAAGAAGAAAAACGTCCTTCCACTGGATTATTTCATATATCTTATACTTATTACTATAAGGAGAGTGAGGTGACCACAGTATGTTGAGATTAACTGAGTAGGAAGATGTATACAACATGGGTGCTTGATGATGTTACTTACTAAGGCACCAAATTAAACAACCTAGAGCCAGCCCCACCCTCAGGAATGCTGCTTACGTATAACACAAATCCCCTTATTATTTACACCATTTTGCAATGGGCTTTCTCCTTATGTGCATTCAATAATATCCCTTCTGATTTGTTTCACCTTAACAGTTTCTTAATAGCCTGTACTTAATGCTTCACCATCAATATCATAATGGGATTATTTTTAATTATTTAATGTCTCTCATCTGTTGGACTGTAAGTTTCTTGAGAGTAAAGACTGTTTCATACTTTTAGTAGTAACCCCGGGGCCTGGCACATAGTAAGTTCTCAATAAATACTTATAGAATGAATGAATAACTTTATTCATCTAATCCTCTTTGTGAATACTTAAGTTGCTTCCAATTTTTTATTAAAGCTACAATAAAATTCTTGTATATGTGATTCCCACACATACAGAGAACTTCTCTGTAAATATTTAAGGGTCTTAGAAATGCTGGATCATAAGCTGTATATATTCTGTATTTTTCTAGGTACTCTCAAATTTCTCACAAAGAGGTTATATCAATTTACCGTTCCACCAGCAGTGTTTCAGTTCATATTTCTTCACACCCTTGCTTACCCTTGATATCACCAAACCTTTAAATTTTTGTATATTACAATCTGATAAGTAAGTATAGTATCTCATTTTAATTTGCATTCCCCTTATTACCAGGATATGCATTTTCTTATGTTTGGCCATTCAAGTTTCTATTTAAACAGCACCTCTTCACATGGCTGGCTCATTTTTCTTAGGTTATTCATGTTTTTCTGTGAGCTGCTCTAGTATATTAATCAAACAAGGAAAGGGGTTGTGGGAACTCCAATTTACAGTCATTCATTCAAAGCACTGGTAGAATAACATGTGGCTTGCAATTGGCACTGGATGTGGGGGGTCGGTTTTGTGGGACTGAGTCCTTAACCTGTGGGATCTGATGCCAACTCCAGGTAGACAGTGTCAGAACTGAATTGGAGGAGAATCAACTGGTGTCTGCTGCATACTTGATTGCTTGCTTCATGTATGGAGAAAAAAGTCCCACATATCTGGTGTCAGAAGTATGTTGTAAGAATATGGGAAAAGCTAATTTTGTTTTTTTCTACTGATACAATAGCTCATTGAGAAAAAAGATTGTGGACTTTTTTTTTTGAGACAGTCTCACTCTGTTGCCCAGGCTAGAGTGCAGTGGCATGATCTCGGGTCACTGCAACTTCTACCTCCCAGGTTCAAGCAATTCCCTGTCTCAGCCTCCCGAGTAGCTGGGATTACAGGTGCCCGCCACCGTGCTATGGACCTATTTTTAAAGTAGGCACTGAGCCTGCACTGTGGGCCATTTTGACTCAGGTGGTCTGTCTGCCTTTTGGTCTTTCCCAACTCTGTAAAACAGCAGAACCATGAAGTACAAAGACGTTCTATTCTGACAAGATTGCTATTGTAGACTCTGCATCACCTTCAGGGGATCTGTATTGATACTATTGGAACCCTGTACTTCACCCCATGGCTCCTTTCTGATTTTGGGTGCAGCTGTGGTGAACAATTCTCAGGGGCACTGTTAGCTGACCAC